GATACTAGGGCAAGAAAACAAGAAGGAAAGCATAGAGGAAATTATAATAAAAGAAAATGTGAGGGACAGAACTACAATCCTAAGAAATCTAAATATAAGTATAGATCTTTAAAGAACTAATCATATTTAATTCTAAAATGCACTTTTCAAGACTCCAATTCTATGAATTTTTCACTCCACAAATTAAGTGCATATTTACGAAGCATGTTGTTCCTTCCCTTAGCCTTATCCTTGATCCATTCCATAGAGAAAAGAATGTGGTTGAGCATGTCCCTTGCATTAGCAAAACTTGATCAAATTTCGTGAAATGGTGAAATATTGCAGTCATTTTCTTACCTTCTAAACTAACACAAATGTTGTCATCTGTTTTACATGCAGAAAAAGTACAACCACGCAAAAATACTTCCAGACTGAGGGAATGGTAAGTGAGAATGAAATTTAATAGAAAGTACAATGTAATGTATGATGATTTATTTACTATTAGCATCCAGCTGTATATGTGTTTTTAGACAACTATCACTCACTTTTTATGATGCTAGAAATTAAATTTATTATATTTTCAAGCATTGTAACTCCGTTTATTGTCAATTGTTGAAACTAAAGGAATATGCTGTTTCCAAAAAAAGGAAAATGTCGGGACTCACATTTACGTTAGGGCGGCTGTTGACATTAAAATTAGGGTTTTAGACAAAAATTATGAATGATTTTGGAAGTTTTTAGAACCAAAATAGTGTGGCTGCATTAGATACTAATTAACATTTTTATGAGTCTATGTTTGAAAGATGGTGTCTATTTTCCCCACTTATTGAAATGGTGTGGAAAAATATTTAGGGTTTATTTTAATTACACATTGAGTGGTTGTGATAAATTATTTGAGCTTTATTTTAATTATATTGCACATTGAAAAAAGGGAATGGATTCATTATGATATTCATATAGTGATGTATTTTTGTTTTTGTTTTTACACAAACGGTTTACTTTTGCTAGACTTAGGATGTTTTTACTTGGACTGTAATTTGCTGGTCTGATCTGGTCTGGTCTGGTAAGGTCCGGTTTCTTTGTATTTTTATAACTATCCAAGTCTGGTCTGGTCTGGTCTGGTCTGAACTGGTCTGGTCTGGTCTGGACTGGTCTGGTCTGATCTGGTCTGGGACAAATTACAGTCCAAGTAAAATCATCCTTATAACACAAAATAGGTTCTTAGAGTACGTGGTATATCTGTTCAGAAAATTCAAGTAAAGCTTATTGTCTTCATAAAGTCATAAACAAAATGATACGCTCATATTCACTCAACATGAATAATATTGGGCATTATATTAATCGCGCAACGCGAGACACAAAACCAGTAACTTCTATATATATATAGGGAGCGAATCATGTAAGAAGTGCTCTTAGGCTGAAAACTGCGAATTTATACTTATAGACTAAATATAGGAGCTTTTAACCAATAAATCATAACTTATAGACCCCTCAAAAATAATTACAAAAATGCCACCGCAAAAAATAATTACGGAAACCTGGAAAAAAATTTGACGTGGTGGCATTTTCGTAATTATTATGGAGAGCTTTATAAGTTATGATTTATTGGTTATAAGTTCTTATATTTAGTCTATAAGTTTACTGCGTTGTAAGATCAGATCAGATGCAAATCCAAGGGCTGAGATTACTTCTCACTTCTCATTTTAAGGGGCACTTCTCACATGATCTTTTCCCTATATCTTTACAATCTTATAAAGGTGAATGAAGGTAAGGACAATTTGGGTATGAAAAATGTGTTGGTAGTAATCATAAGCTAATGCAAACTTGTACTTTGAACTAAAATTAGTGTACCTTAGTTTGTCAAACGTTTTAATACCAGACGGAACCATCAATTCCCGTTAGTTGGAATCGTCAAATGCTATCTATATACGAAGTATTTGCTCCCAACCTTTAAGAAGTTCTCGACCTTGTTCACAAATACTACGTATATCTTAGTTTATTTATTTAATTATTTATTTATTTATTTATTTATTTTGCTTTTTTGCTTTAACAAAAACTATGTATACTACGTAATAAGCTACAGAGTATATGGTCTATGAGTATGTATGTCTTTTTCCTTTTCTCTAGCAAAAAATAGAAATAGTAGAACCAAAAAAAAAAAAAAAAAAAAAAAAAAAAAAGAAAAAAAAAAAAATAGAAATAGTAGAACCGTCAACACCACATTTTAATAAACTTAGACCCCGTTTGATAACATTTGAAAGTTGCATTGGCTTGATAAGCTGAGCATACAAAAATTGATGAAATGCTAACTGAAGCGGCTGAATTATCTGAACATGTTGAATTATAGAAAAAATATATTTAAAATGTATTTTATTAATATATTTGAGGAAAAAAATATAGAAAATAACTAAAATTGTTCTCTATAGTAATCTTAACCAATTCAGTCAGAAAAGTAACTTCAACCTTATTGATTTGATTATTTCACAATTCAGTGCAAGTTATCAAAAGTTATCAAACGAGCTAGCTCTTAAACATTTTTGCAAAAGATCGGTGACCTAATTAGAAAAATCTGTCTTATCTGCTGCTACCTCCGGCCATCTAATATTGATACAAGAGGAAGTGATGTGCTTAGCAAGAAAAGCAAATTTATCTATGTGATTATTGGTTAGTATTGAATTGATGAAATGAAAATAAAGTAAGAATGATTTTGAACAACGCGAATATTATAAAGCAAGAAAAGTAAATTTATCAATGATATTGAATTGATGAAATGAGATAATCTTAGTTGGGAGGACCAGGAAGCAAAGATGAGACTTCCTTAGCTAGACAAAGGGAGTGCTAAACAACTAATACTTAGTACTAAATTGTTACAAGTGTATTTATATTAGTAATGTAATTATTTTAAGCTTGTTTATTAGTCTTTATCTTCAATTTATTAGACTAATCAAATATTCCGGTAACTTTTTATGAAACATGTTGTTTTTTATTTCACATGCTAAAGTATTGTCTACTGAATTTCCAGAATAATACTATTTTAACTATTTTTGGTAAAGCTTATGCTGCCCTTTTGTAAATCAACACTTATAGAAAAATACTTTTTTTTTAAATTAGGAAAATAGGGTCTAGCCCTTATACACATTTGATTCTATTTATTTTATTTTTGAGTCCTCATTCATGATGAAAATGTTAAGTACTCTATTTTTAATAAGTTCATGCAAATGTTAATGTTTCAAATACTAAAAATAATCATATCAAATCAACATAAAATGTGTTGCATATTTTCAAAAGAAAAATCATTGGGCATTTATACATTCGCGCATCGCGCGAGTAGAAAAATAGTATATATATATATATATATGATGCACACTTGTCAGTAGTGCATAAATGTATGTTTTTATGTTTGATTTGTGTTGATTGTCTACCTTTATTATTTAGTTTGTAAACATTTGTGTGATTTTAGTTATAATTGTATTTTAGCTTTCATTTGCAAGTTGTAAAGTAGTGGTAGGATTTGGGGTGTTGGAAAAGAGGACTTTGCGATTGAAGTGAATAAACCTGCCCGGGTAACTTCCCCGGTCGGGTATACTCTTTACTCGGTCAGGTATGGGTTGAAAACGGAAGCTACCAATAAATTGGACTGATACTCGATCAGGTATAGCCCTTTACCCGATCGGGTATGAAATGATCCAGACAAAGAGACGTGCTAGCTGCTGGAACACAAGAACGTGGAAGATTGATTCGAATTTGACCAATACTCTGTCGGGTATTCACTATACCCAGAGGGGTACCCGGCCCAAGGTGTTGAAAACACCTATAAATAGCATCATTTTCTTCCTTTATTTTTAATCATTCCTTCTTCCATATACTTAAGCTCGACTTAAAATAATATTTTCTTTATATTTTTCTAGCATTATTTAGTCTCCAAATAAGGAGTTAAATCTCTATTTCTTGGTTTTGCTCTTGAAGCTTGTTGGATGTTAAAGTTGTGAGTTATTTTCTTACTTCTTCCCTTGAATATTAATTCTTCCCTTAATCTTATTTCTATATTGATGTTGGGGAGTGTTGTTAAATGATAATTAGTTAACATATTGACATTAATTACTATTGAAAATGACTAATGAACCGATGGTTAATCATTGATGGTTTCACAAGTAAATAACTTCGGGTTATTATTGCACAATTGTGGTTAATAATCTTAAGAGGAATTAATTGTGTTGGTTAAACCGAAACCATTGTGCTAAGGTTATCAATCTCAATTGATTGTATCAAGGAGTTAAGAGATTAAATGTTATTATCAAATCGGTATATGACTGTTTTCTATACTTGGCTAATAGTAAGGGTTATTAATGAACGGTCGTTATTAATAACTACCCTTGAAGCCTTGATGAATTGGAGATACTTCTCAATTAAGTATTCGAGAGGGGATAAGATAAATATAACTAGGATCAACAGACATATCAACAAGTGGAAACTAACAAAATCAAATCTTTTATCTCATTAATTGAAATCATATAAGTCATTCATCTTAGTGTTTAATTGATTAAAATTCACGCAATCCCAAAATCCCCCTTGTACTAGTCCATTAAAAGAAAATTATTTCTTTCCTTGTGAATACAAACCCTACTTCACTATACTATGTATTAGTGCTAGTATTGAATTTATTTTGAGGCATACAACGTCTTTAGTGCTGTCAATATACTATGATAGAAACTCAGTTCCCAAAAGAATTAAATCTATAAGAATTGATAATGTGATTGAATTCATGTTTTCTTCTGTCTATAATTCCAAAGGTATAATACATCAAATGTCTTGTGTAGAAACATCTCAACAAAATGATAGGGTTGAGAGAAAACATCAACATCTCTTACAGATTGCCAGATAAATATTAATTCAATCCCGTTTACCTCTTAGTTTTTAGTCTAATTGCATTCTTAGTGATGCACATATCAATCTTATGCCAACGTACAAATTGAAAGAAGCTCAGCACAAATCAACTCAAGGCAATAAGGATGTTGAGAATAGCAAGTCAGAGGTTATCGTCTCTGTCATCATGCTCCTGGATGCCATCTGCTCAAACATCTCCGTCCATCGCATCCAGGATCTTCTTACCATTTCCGAGGATTCAACCGATGGAAGTCCTTCCCGATTGGGTTCTCTTCCCATCGAAAGTATGTATCTTGATCAAATTAGAGGGTTCGCTTCTTTAACCCGTGCAAAAGTCTAGCATATCCTTCTCTTCTCTGTACAACTACAATCATATTTTTTCACTTTCTTGATAGAGGTGTCAAGTCCAACCCGAAAGCTCTTGTGTGGGGGTTTACTCACTAGTATTCTTTCTTAGAATTCGAAAATAAACTACATGTTTAATTTTTAATGCATAGTACAGATATCACAAATTGGTTATAAACCGTTTACTAACAGTCTAACACTACAAATTTGTTATTTTATTTACATGTATTTGTAATTTTTTATGAACTTGCTATTATGAGGGTGCAGAACTGTGACAAAAGACCAGCGAAAAATAACAAGGATGGAAGTCATGGAACCAACTTTCATACAAGAGTAGAAGATGGCGACAACCAAGCTCAGTCTTGTCGTCAAAAGTTGCCGGAGAGTAAGATATCAGAAATCATTTGCTCAAAGTTTGCGGCTATGCAAGTGGCAATGATAAATCCCCAACAAAAGATAGGGAAAAAGAAGCACCTTCCCACAAAGCATTATTCACAAATTAAATCGCCATTGCCAACATTTTTAATAAGCTTATGTTGATGATTATACTACGTATTTAATATAAGGGCTTAATCGATCTTTTTATGAGGGCTTATTTAATGTTTTCACTTATTTTTGTGATGGTAAACGCAAACAGTTTTTATTGGAGTAACTCAATACTCAAAACGGACAACTTTTTAATTGTAAACAAATCTGAATTGCCTTTCTTTTTTCATTCTTTCATATTCCGTACTGTTTGCTGTGTTTCATTCTTTGGAAAACAAATGCTTTTGTGCATTTTCTTTTCTCCGAATGGATAACATAAAAGTTCTGCAAAACAACAAAAAAAAAAAATATCCGCAATGAATCATTCACACTAACTTACAAATTGCAATTATGAGCAAAACAGAACATAAAATATCTGGCAATCTATGTAGTTGATATCTGGCGAAACCCCTCGAGTATGACCAATGTCTGAACCAATTTATCTCAGTTGAGGGAAGGCCGAAAACATGATATCTGGCATGGAGAAATCACTGTCCCCGCACAAGATGCTGTTAAGCAGGTGCTGTTAAGATGATAACACGAACAAAGGGAAGAGAACCCACTCAACCCTACTGCCTGGTTGCTCACCGTCTCACAGATGACCATAAGATAGAGGGAAGCCGATAAATAAAGGAAGCAGCCGATCTTAAGAGACCCCTATTATTGGTTGGAAATCAGAAAAATGAATATGATAAATGTTTTTTTAAAGAATTAAATATGTTTAGACACGTATCTGAGCTTTTATAGTAGAAACTGAAAAAAAAACAAGGCAAAGGTACAGAAAAGGTAAATGTGATTGGACACGTTTTCAGACAGAGACTTGTGTTTCATTTCTTACATAAATAGTCCCCGTGTTTTGATTGTGTTATGCCGTTATCACTGGAGGGGTCCAGCGCCTAACGCCGTTAGAAATTATCGGAGGAAAACGATGAAAAGTAACTATGATTTTCAAAAGTGACCGAAAAAATAAAAGAAAAATATTAAGCAGTGTGCTTCATCAAGGCAATCTCCAAACCATCTTCCTTTTTGGACTTTTCGGCCCTTTAGGATTTTTTTAAAAAATTATTTGTCAATATTACTTTTCCCGTAGAGATTCCAACCACAAGGTGGCTGAAAATAAAAAAGAAGATGGCGTGAAGGTTGCCTTGACAAGACGCACCTCCAGTATTTCTCTTTTAATTTTCTCAGGTACTTTTGAATATCGGAGTTACTGTTCACCATTTCCTCCGGCGATTTCCAACGGTTTCCTGTAATAATAGAATCAAAATACGGGGACTTCTTTGTTATGAAACGAAACATAGACCGCTATCTGAAAACGCGCCCAACCACAAGTACCTTTTCCATACTTTTCTAACAAAACAATCAGTTTGAACTGACCATCATCGTCATTACCCCAGTGCCGCAAAGGCTCCCATCTACGGAGGGGTAAGGGGGTCGGATGTCCTTACCCCTGTACTAAAGCACATAAAAACTTTCCCTATATTTTCCCCAGCATTTCTTTGCCAAGCATTTTCCAATGCCCAACTGCCCCAACAGACCCTAAAGACTGTAAAAGTTGAACAAGTAAACCAGGATAAGATTTAATTTACCAAATATGTGTTTGACTTGTTCTGTTTAAGCATGGAGGAGAGCCCAAATCATCTACTTGAGTGGAGGAGATAACAAGTCTCTGAAACTTAGTTGATAACTCCTTATATGACAGAACTTCAGATGGTTGCACTCTCTGAATGCCAGCCTTCAAGTGGTTCATTGTTATTTCTGAGGCTCCAAGGTTCTCCTGATTTTTATATGATTAAAGGTTGTCATCTAAGCTTCTACAAGTTGTATGTTTGCAGAAAATAATAATGAGAAATTGTTCAGCAGCATACTTACTTCAATGGCAGCAATGGCTGCTTCACGGCAAATAAGGGATATATCGGCACCTGTACATCCATCGGTGAGCCGAGCAAGCTCTTTTATGCATACATCAGAACCACATGGAATCTTGCGCAGATGAATCCTGAATATATCCTCACGGTCATTTTCATCAGGTGGCCCAACATATAGGAGTCGATCGAAACGACCTAGCGAATTCGACATTACTTATGAGTTATTCAGGTATTTCAGTTTCAAAAGGAGATCACGGGTCCTAGCAGAAAGACTACTACTAATGCAAGCAAGGAGAAGATGTAGCACCTGGTCTTAAAAGGGCAGGATCTATCTTGTCTGGACGATTTGTAGCAGCAAGGACAGTTACATTAACTCTTTGATGCAAACCTGGTGTAGGAAACATCTTTTCAGTATTCTCAGTTTAAGGTAAATTGGTTCTAATTTAACTATCTACTTTGAGTTAGCTTGCCCACGTTCAAGATATAGAGCTCATTTAGTAAGGCCATAATCGTTGAAGTGGCCGACTTAATAGCAGTTGCTGAATCTGTTTAATTATCTACAAAATATATAAATGCATACTACAGTCTACATCTATCCCCTAAGATTGGGATAAGAGGGAAGAAAAAAGAAATGGTGTGGTTGGTATTTAATTGGTAAAGTGTGAATAAAGTATGAGACAAACTTAGTGGGACAGACAAAAAATGTAAACCGAGACAAAGATATGAGGATGGAAAGAGTATATTTAATTGAACTTAAGAAATAATTTCAAAAATAAAATTATCAATTTTAGTTGGCAAGACTCATGCACAACATTTTTCCATTATCATCCAATTCAGCCAACACAGCAACGTCAAATAAATTAGTGTGCATAAAAAAACTAGCCGATAAGCAAAAAATGAAGCCTAACAAATGCCCAAATGAGCTTATAATAACCAAATACTTCTGGTCTGGTCTAGGACTGAAACCAGTCGAATTAAAAACTTCCTAATTAAGCAACATATAAACATACAATTGAAACTAACAGTGTAATGATGGTTAGAAAAAGGGATTGAGTAGCTGATATATGATATTTTCCCATTCAACTTTATACGAGGAAAGAAAACTTTATAATAACCAAATACTAATTAAACAACTTATAAACATACATTTAAAAATGAAGTTCTAACGATGCTTAGGAAAATGTTGCAAAAAAAACGATGCTTAGGACAAGGTGTTATAATGCTAATTTATGATGCTTTTTCATTAAAGTTTATACTCATGTAAAAAAAACATTGTGTTTCAAACTTTACTTACCATCCAATTCAACAAGAAGTTGGCTCATCACCCGATCCGCAACAGAGACCCCATCACTCTCTTTCCCACGGACAACAGCAAGACCATCAATTTCATCAAAAAATATAATAGAGGGGGCATTTGCCCTTGCTTTGGCAAACAGGGCTCTAACAGCCTTTTCTGATTCACCTACCCATTTGCTGAAAAGTTCAGGTCCCTTCACAGCAAGAAAGTTTAACCCAGCCTCAGAAGCAACAGCACGAGCCAAAAGAGTTTTGCTACACCCAGGAGGACCAAACATCAAAACCCCAGTTGGGGGGCGGGTCCCTATCCGTTTAAACGCTTCCTGGTGCTTTTGGGGCCACTCAACAGCTTCCATCAGTTGCATCTTTACCTCCTTCTGCCCACCAACATCTTCCCAGTTGACCTTAGGAACCTCTATTATTACCTATTTTGCAAGACTGACCAAGTTAGAAATACATGTAGACTGTAGAACCACACAAAAGCTAAGGTGGTTTAGTAGGCTATATTCTGGCTTGTAGAGGCATTGTTTACCAAACACCTAACTATTGTTATTGTTACTGCACTGGTTGAATTAACTAATAATGAAAAGCAGTGCATGAGTTACTTTGTGGTCAAGGTTGATGAAAATGATACTTAAACTTTAATGTTTTGATAATTTTTTTCTATAAGTTAGTTAAATATAAAAATCTAAATAGTTAGTTAGATAGTCCTATTAATTCTACAAAATCAACCATTTCAGCCATAACTTTAGCAACTCCAGCAGATTCAGCAATATCAAATAGGCGTTATATCTAATCAGCGCAAACAATAGTACACAATCCATAGAATGCTAAAAGTTAAGCAATTTGACGCCTGAGGATACATAACAGAATAGATCAAGTGTGAGTGCCTAAGCATCACATACTCACATCTACTTAGCATTTGTATTCCAAGTTAAACTTAAAAGCTTCAATATTTATCTGCAAATTTCTGCATGCCTCCAGCTCTAGTTACACAAAACATCAATTTTTATTTACGTGTTACAAATTGACAACGTATCTGTTCAAATCCCACAATAATGGAAAGATACATACCTCCCGCATGGCGCTTGGCCTTACTTTAAATCTAGCACTTTCAAAGTCATCCACTGTTACCGTTAGAATTCTTTCATCTGCAGCAGACATTCCATTTACATTCTCCCCTTTCAGAATGTCTGACAAAATGTATGCTTCAGTTATTGCTGATGATCCCTCCATATTGACTTTAGAGAGTTCACTTTCTTCTAAGCAAAGGGAATCTTCCATATGTCTATTATAGCAACTATTCCGAAGATGAGTTGATGGTTTGGCATTTGAATCACCGTATGAAGTTTTAAAGTTTACATGCCTCCTGAGAGAAACCAGAGCAGCTTCATTGCAGAGAGCTGCTAGATCAGCACCAACAAACCCATGAGTAGCCGTTGCAAGATGTTGAATATCCTTTTCCAAAAGGGAGTGATCCATCTTATCGAGAAGTGCCATTAGTATTTCATAACGCTGCCTACGAGATGGTACACCTGTAAAAAATTATCCATCAAACAGTCATGCAAAGAAGCATTGTAAACGGGAAGCATAAATCACTAAAAATTTAATAAGAGATATAAAGAATGTATTTGGATCTCAGAGAATTGTATGGTAAGAAGAGTTTTTTTCTTGTGCTTGGTTTTTACCAAGGAAATGTGAAGGAAGATAAGTTATGGTTAGTGTTCTATATTTTCATAAGTTTAGATTTATATATTAATTTAAATAGATAATTAAAAATGATTTTGAACAAATATCAAAAAATAAATTAGGGTGAACATTTTTTTTGTTTTCACTCAAGTTTCCTTCCAAATTTCTGCTACACTTTCCTCCATACTCTCTCTCCCTACCATTTTCAGAGTTCCAAACAGATCCAAAATGAAATGAATAAATACATCCCAAATAACCTATTTCAATTTCTCGGTCAAATCTTCC